TGACGAGAAAACTATCTAGTATTCCAGTGATGGTTTTCAGTGATTCTTTAACTGATATCAATCCGTGGTCAACTTCGAAAAGTAAATCAAATCCTTACAAATTGACCCTTAAATAGAAATAGAAAAATGCTTACTGAAGCATAGAAAATCAGCATAAGATGCAATAGAAAGCGTAAAACAGAACTACAGTTACATACATTAAGAATTAGAAAGGTAGAAACCAATTTAATTAGCAATTGAAATCAACAGTCATATTAAATATTCATCATTTCATGATGGAAAGAAAACCACCAAATGAAAATTAAAAACAAAAATCTGTCTGAAGAAATCATCTGAAAGACGAATGAGGTCTTATTCAGACTAAGCTAGAAAGATACCAGATAATAGGTGTCTGGGTTCCACGTTTACAGGTTAGTAGAAGGACGGTTAACAGTCATACAACGTTTAAAATGGCACCTTTAGCACACAGATAATTAATTATTAATTTTTGTAAATCCTTGTGAAAATAATTTTATCAATATTATTTTTATTATTCTCTTGGGTTCCTAGTGGAATTCAGCATTTCAGAGGCAAATCTCTGTTTCACTCTTTTCTCTGCAGTTTTTCTTTTTTTATTCCTTCACGTTCCCAGTGGGACATAAGGCTCCAAGCTAGAGGCTTGAAATTTCTGTAGCAGTGGTGGTTATGTTTACAGGATACAGTTGCTCGCCTCGTGTCCAACCTTTCCTTTTTACCAGCTTTATTTGTTACTGGCTTAGCTAGGTGAAGGAGTGCATCGGTGGCCTGGTATCGGACTCCGGACTACGTGCACGGTCGGCGAGCTTCCTAACCGCTGTGCGACCAACGCAGTACTCTGTATTAATTGACTCCGCCATTGCCCATAAGCTTTCCTCTTTTCTTCACACCATCTCCACCTTATCACCTTTGGAGTCACACTAACTCGTAGTTTCTCACTCAGGTTGCACTCTAGGACCTGTCACGTGATATCACCGAACGGTGTCCTCATTGTATGACCAACCCTTTTCCACTCTCTTTGGCACATTTGTTTGGAGGCAGATTATTTGTTGATTCGTTCCATAAAGTTGCTTGTAGCTAATCCTTTCTAGTTGGTCATCTGATTCTCGGTATGGAGCGAAACTGAGTATTGGTGAAAGTCTGAATGAGGCAGTTGGAAATGCTTTTAGTGACGCATTGAGTCTCCAAACTATATAGAAGTACTGGCTTAACATTAATGTTGAACAGAATTCGAATCTTGTACCTTACGTTGAGTTGTAGTACACTTCCACACTAAGTTAAGAGTAATAAAGTTCTGTCTTCGTTTTTCCGATTCTGACTGGATTTCACATCATTATTTGCTTCGCTTTTACTTGAAGCACTGCTTAGATAGGTGAAAAAGAGGACTTTCTTTAGATGTCCTCTGTTCATGGTGATTTATGCTTGTTGTTGCTGGTGGTGGGTTCCTCTATATTCAACTGAAGTCATGTCTTCACATGAAAAATAATGCTGGCAATTATTCCTTCTGAATATTTATTGACGAAGATGATTAGAAACTAGTTGGAGGACTTCATCTTGAGTTGACATCAGCTAGAGAACCATTGGAAAACCTGAAAGGAGTACTACAGGAGAGCTTTTTCGTCCTAGTTTGAAAATCCTCAGAAGTACGCACTCACCGCAAGAGTTCGAACCCAGGATCTTCTGGTTACAAGACCAGCTAGCTCGTAGATCATTAAGTCACTGGGACCGGACCCACCGGTCCATGAATTCTAGCTTCTGCCAATTCATGACATAACGCGACCATGTCTCAATGTCTTCTTCGATGAGTTACTGCCTCAACTTCAACCTGCTGTACCCTACTGGTCACAGCTTCACACTAGAACCCCATGTAACTGTCTCAATAGGACCAGTCGCCAGTGAGCATCAGATTAATTTTCAAGTATTGGTTTTGTATGGATTTTGTTTGATTGTTTCGAGGATTTCATCATGAGTGTACCGACGAAAAGTCCTAAAATACGACGAAACAGCTGTCCAGTACTCTCAGGTTTTCGCATGGTTCTCTAACTCATGTTAGCTAATGATGAAACCCTCCAACCAATGAAATCACTAGTTCTATAATTGAAGACTGGAACTTGACCGTACAACTTTAAATAATATTTTTTCACTGTATGCGTCTCCTGTGGAATACAGGGTTTCAAGCCTTTGAAGATTCAGTAGCTGTGGAGTTGATTTCATGGTTTGGCGTGGCTAGCCTCATCGCCAACGTTCCTTCTTTCCTACAAATGCTACCTATTAGACGAGATTTTAAGTTTGAGTTAGCAGGAAGTCGAACGCGGACCTGCCACGTGACTGTTAGGCATTCTATCATTGAATCAATGTTGCACACTGATTAGTATACAAAGGGAATATATTAGTATATGTGTAAAACTTAGGTACTGTGGTAGTTAGTAATTTCAAAGGTCACCAATATCCCTGGTTCATGGATAGACAAGAAAACATAGTGATTGAAACGTTCAGCCCCACTCCAAAAGTATGGTGGAGGTATGTAGACGACACATCCACTGTACTTAAAACACAGGATATAGGTAGATTTTTTGAACACATTAACTCAAAGGTGGAGGCAATTCAATTCACTTGTGAATTGGAAGGTCAGGAAGGGGAGCTTCCAATGTTGGATTGTAGACTAGAAAGTAAAGACGATTGGAAGTCAAACACTAGTGTTTACAGGAACCCCACACATTCAAATAGATATTTAGATTTCCCATCATCCCGCCCTGTGTCAGTGAAAATAGGATTGGTGAAATATTCAGGTAATAGAGCACAAAAACTAAGTAGTACCAAGGAAAATCTAAGACAGAAATTGAGGCATATAAGAGAAGCCTTGAAAATTAATTAATAATTACCCGGATAAATTAGTCAAAGAGTATGTAAGGAAATGTAAAAATAAAATAAGTAATAATAGTAGTGATACTGATGATAATAATATTAATGATGATATGCATGTCAAACATGCACAGGATAATGACAACACCAATAATAGGGAATCTAAATCATCAGTAGTAATTCCATACAAGGAAGGAACTTCGGAAACCACCTTACGCAGAATTCTTAACAAGGCAGGATTAAAAGTTGCTGGCATTCAAACCACCCACAAACTCAATTAGAAACAAGCTTTGTCGGTCAAAGTATCAATCCTGTGGAGCCAATTAAACAAAACAATTTAGTTTATCTAATACCCTGTCTGCGATGATTGTCAGGTCAAATACATAGGTGAAAGTAGTAGAACAGGGGCAGTCAGACTAGCCGAGCATAAAAACCTAGCTAAATCTAGAGAACAGTTCACCTATATCACTCACTACATGCAACTACACACAACCATACAATAGGATGGGAAAGGCTGACAGTTCTAAAATCTAATGTAACAGGGTGTAGGGAGAGACTGATGACAGAGGAAGATTTGTTTGTCGAATCAACTGCAAATACGTGTAATAGGAATGATCCGACACCTGTCCCGTATATCTGGAGAATTCTGCTACTCCTACGACAAATAGGAGAGAACAAAGAAAACTATAAAACTCAAATTTCGAAGTCGTGTCATTATAATTGATTGGTATGATTATGAACAATGATAAATTTTGTTCGAAACACCATCCAGTAAATAATACTGTTTCACACTGTGTGTGATACATCTGATAAACAAACTAATATGAAGGGGAATATACTTGTATTTGTGAATTCCTAAATGCTAGAGCTCTCTGAAAGTTACAAGAATGGATTTTAATAGCTCTTATAGTTGCTTAAAGTTGCTCATCAAAATTGAAAAGGGATTTAATCAAATGAATCCTAAAATACTATTTCGATATCTATCTGCAGCATAATTTATTTGGCATAGTTGAGAATAATTGTTACTGATGCGAATGACAGCATCTTAATCACTGAAGATGAATGCAAAACATAAATATACACTGTACGTGTTCTTTGGTGTTTATTACTGACAAGAATTTCTGACCTAGCCGAGACGAAAAGCTGTTCTGGATGTAGAACTCCGCCTTTCAGAACATGGTGGATTCAGGGAAAGTAAATCATCAAATGTCTGGGAATGTAGGTGTGTGTGTGAAAGAGAATAGAATAAGAACAGTAGCTAAGGTGTTCAAACTTTCAGACATAACAATGAGTGATGAATAAATCTACACTAAGGGGAATGATTTTGAATTATTTAGCATCTTGAACATTGAAGGAATTTTATCACATATTTCTCTCGGACGTTTTGACTAAAAGTCAATGGCTTCATGGAATGATATCTTCTTTCAATCTGCTCATTTCCAGAATTCGGTCCGAATCTAGTCAGAATTGTTGATAGAGAGTGCTCGCATCTCAACATGTTCTACACACCTAAATCTATAACGCTATGCAACCTCATTGGCCAACAACAAACAATCAGACAGTTTGTTATCGATGAAACTACATGAGATAGATTAGAAGTGGCATAAAAGGATAGTGCTTGGAAGCTGGTATAACAAAGTTCAGTGGGTGGCTACATGCCACCGTTAGCTTGAAGCCCTATGTTCCACTGGGGAACGTGAAGGAAAAAAAATGATTCATTAGCGCTGTCAATCACGAAATGCGCAAAATTCCTCAGAACATTACACTAAGATGAATAAACGACTAAAATACACTTCAGTGAAAGTTAATTAATTGGGATAAAAGGTGTTGTGCAGTATAACTAAAAAGTTCTGTGAACTAAGAGCCATCCTAAATTCATACACATTTACTAGTATTATGAGCAGCATTTGCATAAATAGCACTTTGAAGCATTTCCATCTATTTTAATTGCTAGTGTAATTTCCTACAGGTATGTTAAACATTTTTTATTCAGCAAGCATATTTTCGATAAGTATGCATAAACGAACCCTAATTTCATTGTTAAATAAATTGTTCTTGAAAAATTTTAAATATTACAGGTTTATCAGAACAATATGCGTAATTTTTTGCTGGCATTGACTCACCTGTGCATCTGAAAGCTCCTTTGACAATTGATTATTCTCACTTTTCATTGATTCCAATTGGTCTTTCATATTCTTACTAGACGAACTGTTCAAATCCAAATATTTTATAAGACGTAACAAATCCCTTTCAATAAACAGAAGCAGAGACTTCAGTTCCTCTAAGTCGTAATTATTCCTTGATGGTGCATTGTTGACTTCACGTATGAATCGTCCAGTTTCTGAAGGTAAATTGTACGTATCCATTGGCTTTACCAGGCACTTTGCTAAAACCTTAACGTGCATAAAATACCAGCAAAATGCTTACTTGAACGATGGAGGAAAAAATCGGTGAATAAGTATCACTACGATTTAAACCAACATCAGTCTGACATTCCTGAGATTTGGTTGTTATTTCTGCATTATTGCCAGTAAGTTTTGATGCCATTTGAGAGGGAGAGTTATAGAAACGCTCTACATCAGAAATCCACTTCAGAGCTTCAGCAGCTATTGTGCTGTCCATGTATTTATCCGTTAGGGGACTGTTTAACTGACAGCGAATACTACCATCTTTGTTTTCATCATTTTCCTTTGCTTCGTTATCTAGTACGTTAGAATTGTAAGCACTTATTCTTACTAGCATTGATCGCATCTGTAAGAGCATAGACAACCGATATGTGTTCACTGATGCAAGAACTCAATGAATTCACGTCTTCAGAACATGGATAGGAGTAAAGGGCATCTACCTTGCATATATAGCTCAAGATTTGAAAGATAAGTAAGCACCTATAAGTATGTTTCTTAGTCAAATGAAAATTATTTGCAACCTATCGATTATCATCTCAAGTAAAAATACGTGCAATATGGTATTTGATGACTGGTTAGTTTGAGAATAATTACACTTGGATAAAACAGAATGAATTTTTATCTCCAGGGCTGATTTTCCAGGAAACTTCCACGAGTATGCACTCCTTATTTTTGCGCGTCTGTTGAGCTTTTCAACAAAATCATGAAGTAGATTGACTTCTTTTCTGAGTTTGAGAATACATGCTTCGCTACCAAGAGACATTTCCTTTGAAAAAGTGAGACTCTTAATTGCCTATTGTGTAAGTATCAATAGTGCAGTTAAACAAATCGAAGGCATATCACATGAATGACTCAGAATTCAAGCACTTATAATTTGTCTCAAGAACCATTGTGACTTGAATTTTTCCAGGTGTCTTGACTGTCTCTTTTAAGTTGACTTTGTTGTTCTCAACTGCTCCTGTAGGGCCATGTGACTGACGCTATGCAACGTATGGTTTCATTAAGAGCATACCATCCTGACACCCAATTAGCATAAACAGCTCAGCAATTACTTCGCATACTGCCTGTGTAAGGACTACCGTGAAAAGAAGCACGATATTATACAGGAATCAACAACAGTTTCTGTCTAAGAACAAAAGCTTTCGAAAGACAAAACTATCACTTCACAGAGGAAGAATGGCAACTGCTCTGATAACGATATTACCGTTGGTTTCGTCGCGAAGCCAAACACATCATCTTTGAGGAGTGAATGTAAAAAGATAGATGGACACGCCTGAAGCAGTGATACACCCACTTAACCTGAGTAGAAGTTGAGCTGTACGTGTCACCACAGCATTGAAAATTTCATGCACAAGCTTCTAGTGTGGGTACTGGTCAACAGAATAGGAAGTGTACTATCCAATATCCAGTATCCTGATTACGAACTAGTATAAACCAGTGATTTCTTTGAGCTCGCTTCTTGATGGTAAGGTAGAGGTTCCAGATCTTCGGTGAACTTATGCGTAGTAAATCCCGCCACTCGACTGCTTTAGCTCTGGTAGACTCCAAGAAGAGTGGTGCGAGGATTGGTCAAGATGTGGTTTTTAGTGTGCAGTATGTTAGGACTCAGTTGTTGCCGTGAATAGAGTTTGACCTAACACCCGTTGGTCATTCGGTGTAGTCATAAAAGTAGAATAGTAATAGTAATAGGTTGTAGTGTAGATAATATAAATAAATAAATAAATTTATTCTCATAGTACAGTACATGAGGGACGCCAGTTTACAGGCATCATCAAATTGTTACAGAAATAGAACCATATAATTCAATCACAATTTACAGGCAGTAGCAAGATATGCTGTACATGTTCGCTGTAGATTATACATACACTTGATAAATGTTAATCCCAGTAGTATAAAACAGCCTTTTCACTTATATACAATCATTTCTGTCCAAAGTTGGAAAAATCTGCTAGATTGTCAGTGAGTGCAACACAACAGGAAATACAGAAGTATTGTCCTCGCATTAACAAAATAAACCAGGTCTTTGGTGTATGGATTATAAGTGCCTGGGAAAAAAATAAAGCATGAAGTCAATATTCATACATAACTTCGTTGTGTGCAGAGTCCTCGAATTATAGTTCATTGATGTGTTATTTTGAAATCAGTGATGTGTTTATCTCATTTGATCCGCAATGTCATTGTTGGTTGAGATAAGTGATATAATAAAGGTGACCTAAGGAAAAGATAGAGTAGTCGGTACAGTGAGAGAAGACAGAACGGGTCGTGGGGATTTAGCTTGTATGCTTATCCATTGACAATGTGGTTTCAAATTTTAAGAGGATAAGCCATTGGGACACAGACCATGCATTTCTGCATGATTGTCCAGCTTCCGCTTAAAAGTCTCCACAGATGGCGCTGTAGTTACGGCCGCCGGTAAAGCATTCCAGAGACGGCAAACTCGAAGCGAGAAGAAATGTGAGTGCACTCGAGTGCAACTCAAGTTCTGGCCACCAAGGGTGTAATTTACACTCTGTGACCAGACTCTGTGACAATGACGGATCAAGAATGGAATATAAGATCCGAATTTCGAAATGTCATCATTCTCAGAGGATTCAAAAAGACAGTCACGCACAACGTACGGCATCCGAAAAGGGGAAAACTACCCAATACCAGAATCGAGAACACTGATCACTACAAATCTGATAGCACTGAGAGGTCGAAGTTATCCACACAGTGCAACCCTCAAGTGAAGCATAACCGAAGAACGCTATTGTTATAAGTCCTATTATAAATGTGCCATTCACTGGGACCTTTGAAGGCATCGGGAGTCTTGTTTGTTTAGAATGGGCTATAAGATGGACTCTCTACTTAAATGTCTTCACCCATTCTCGAAGGCATAGGGAAACGACTTCGGGAGACATCTATTATCCTGCGCTCTCAGATATCAATCTGTGAGCTAACCTGTGATTGGTAGACCTATCACAGAACAAAGAATTGAAGTTAAGTGAACAGTTATGTGATTGCGAGAATGTTTATGAGTACAGCTTTTCGTGCAATGAAATTTCATAATAATAATACGTATTTATTCCTCTCTATATAGGAACACACCAGTTGTACAGGCATACATAAACTTGATTTATGGTGAAACTACATGGTTGCTGTCCATTTTGTCTATAGTTTGTGGGGACAGTCTGCTAATTAGACATTCGATGGAGCATATCAAGAAATATAGAAATATTGTCTTCGCACTAACAAAAAATCCGAGGTGTGTGTTGGATGGATTACAAATACTTGGGAAAAGAATAAAGCTTGAAGTCAATTCCCCCATACGAATCTGGTGTGTACGGCATAGAATCTAATTCTTGATTTATATCTAAATTGGGTATTAATTCAAAATAAGTGATATACTTTTGTAATTTTGTCAGCATTTCCATCAAGGGTAACACCAGAAGTGAATTGTACCCGATGCAGACTGATATTGGTTAATGCCAGGCAGATTTATTTTACCGCAGCGAGTCCAGCTGCAAAATGTAGCGGCATGGTGTTCTGTACGGGTAAGTTGATTAACGTGTAGAAAACTATTTGTAAACCATTTCTGGTCATGGATACTGCTTGTATAGGATGTTATACAGCGTCCTAATATGGTGACAGCGACTTTTTCAAGGATGTTGAGTTATGACGAGCCGGAACCTTGTATGATGATATGGTATATATTTATGAGTGGCTTGAAGTCTTGTTCAACTTCACTCTAACTGTAGATCTGTGCAACTTCCACTACAAAGCAAATACAAGGGAACAGGCAAGCAGCAAAGTACCAGAGACGAAAGTAAATGTATGTGGACACGGATAGGGCCCAAATGTTTGTATATATATGTTTACATTTGTTGTACATTGCCATCTAGTAAACATATATGTTTATTTCCACTTAGTCTTTTTATGCATCTTTGCGACTAGTTTATTTATCGTTTATAGAGTAATTAGGGAAATTTCGCGCGTTTTTTAGGTACTGTGGGAAACCAGTAATTGATTCGCTCTAGAAATAAATAGTTTGTGAATGTAATCAGTACGAAGAAACAGTCTGTATACAGAGCATCTGAAACTTGTAACCAAGGTGCAGGTTCTGATTTACAGGGGTAGACTGTTCCATATTTAAGAATATATGACTGTGAAGAAGTTTTCGTGGAGTTATTATTTAAAGGCTTTCATCACCACTGTGCAAATTTGGTTATGAAGATCGTAAGAGCCTTCCGGTGAGAATCGTATGTCCCTATTGCCTGAGTATGATATTTTGTATGGGACCTTAAAGAAGAATATTAGATCTGTAATAAGTCGTCTTGTCCAGAGTGGGTCAAGTTTTAGAATCATGCACCGTGAGATGTAGCCTTTCTTACAATCGTAGCCAAGTAGTTTGGAGGCGAAATATCGTCGGATACTTTCCATCCTTAGCTTGTCGCATATGCCTGTATCACTAATAATAAGTGGTGAGTATTCTAATAGTGACCTAACATATGCTTGTATGGAATGAGCTACGCTTCGTTGTCGTGAACGTTCCCGAGCATGCATCTAAAGGGCATCGTCGACATTCGAGTCCGTGGTACCACTTGCTCGAAAAATGTTAGGTCACTAGAGTACTTCAGGCCTAAGTCAATGACACTTCGGAGTCTGGGTAGGTTAGCAGATTGAAGCGTTAATTTCATGTCGATTGAGGGTGCGCCGAAGCAGATCCAACCACTTTTGTCCAGATTAAATTGTGGATTCCATAAAGACGACCAAACGGTCACTTTATCTCATTCACTCTGCACAACATTCCGGAAGTACCCTAGGTCATCACAATAGAATATACCAGCTACTTTTAGGTCATCTGCAAAGATGAGTGGTTTTACATGTGAGAAGCAAGCGCAAAAGTCTTTGCTATCAAGTGTAAATAGGAGGGGCCCAATAACACTACCTTCTACTACACCAGAAGTGATTGGGTGTAGGTTTGGCAGTTACAGACCCGAGTTTAACTATTTGGAACATGTTGTTAAGGGATGATTTAAGCCATCTTAAGGAGTTCAGCTTGTGTATTAGCAGTGAATGGTCGACACGGTCAAATGCCCTAGAAATGTCAAAGTAGATGACGAGTACAAGTTGTCTTCTGTCACGACTGCTGGTCACAAAATTAAAGAACTCTAGGTGACATGTTAAGCATGATCTGGATTTTTGGAATCCATGTTGGTTCGGACTTATAATGTTGCAGCTAAGCATATGCTTGAGTAGGTTATCTTAAGCTAGTCTCTGCGTAATTCTAGACGCGACGGGGGTGTGATATTGACTGGCCTGTAGTTGTTGATTTCTGTTTTCGAGCTGCATTTGTGCTTGGGTGTAATAAATGTCGTTTCCTATATATCCGGATAAGTTTGGGTTTCTAAGGACACTGTGAAGATTTTAAGCAGTAATATGCGGATGTCTGGATCACCACATTTGTAGAAATACGATGATATACCACCAGTGTCAAAAACTTTAGAGGTTTTGAGGGTTCTAATAACTTGGTTAATGTTAGCGTACGTGAACAGGTAACGCGGTACGTCCAACGTTTGCGTTACATTTTTGCGTGATTCGTTACATAAAATTTATCTTGTTGTAATCCTTGCACAAGTCCTCTACTACTTCCATACCTATAACTATTAACTTTCATATCAAATAGTTATGGTTAACCAAAGTAAAAAGCAGCGAACTCAATCCCCTGTAAAACTGATGACTAATTTTAAGTCGTTGATTGCTACATCAAGCAACATACTTCCTACAAATGGTTATAGTGAGCCACAAAACTCACTTGTATGTCGTAAGCGTCGAGCTGAAACTGAGGATAAAACTATACTGACAGCTAGTATTAGCACTACTCCCAAAAATTCAGTACCCTCTGCTCATACAGAAACCCTCCCCACACCTTTTGTGCTTATCGAAAAGCTCCAGCCTTCAAGCTCTGTTTCAGTACTATCTTCAGAAATAGAACTTCTAAAGTTGTCTATAGGAGAACTTAAGGCCGAGTTAAGGGACCTAAAAAACAATAAGTCAGTAGATCCTGGAATTTCCGATACCAATACCAAAATCTCCAGTTTATCAGGTCAGATCAGTGATATCAGACTGCAGGTCTGTGAACTGACACCTTTAACTATTCTCATGAAAACTGTAGACCTTAACAAACTTGACAGTGAATGGATATCTAAGGTGGATAACCTAATTAACTTTGTTACTACAGAAGTAACAAAACGACTCGATGCTAAACTAAATGCTATTGTCTACAACGTTCCGGATAATGAGGCACTAAAAAAGGTACAGCGCATCCTACTTAGTGAGGCGAAAATGCCCAACTCCAAGACTAAGTGCTACAGGCTGAAGAAGAGTCAACATGACAAGTGTTGTCCTATTCGTTTTCAGTTCGAAACACCGGCTGAGGCCAGAAAATTTACCCACTCCCAACACACCCTATCGCAAGCCAGAAATTACAAACTAATAAAGGTTGTGGTGGACAAGACCGTCATAGAAAGGCGCGTATATAATTATCACACTAAGTCTAATTGTGGAATAAACAATAGGACATTGCAAGCAGCAATTATACCCAACCCTTTGAGAGACACCGTAGAATCCACCGAACCACCCCTCTCTAACCACACAGAATTATCTTCTCAGAGAGCGACACCAACCGAAAGGCCGCTAAATTGTAATCAGATAGCCAATAAAACTATACCACCTACCACCGTAGATTTAGACATATCACTAAATAATCCAAGAAAAAAAGTCAAGTCCTCTCCTAGCCATAAGTCCATTGGTAAAAAAGAGAAGAATATGACCCCAAATCATGCCAGCAACAACAATGGCAGTATAAGTAAGCCCACATTCCCCACGGTCAATAGTATTGGCACCCACAACGTGCGAAATAGCACCATGGCCCATACTGATAACCAACGCCAAAACGATGCCACCCTCAAGAGTACAAGTGGCAATAGTCAGAACTCGACCACCAACAACTCAGGGCATTCACAGTATGGCACGCTAATAAATTTTGATCGGATATACGGTACAAGTCTGCTGGGAACTAACCCACAAAGCAGTACGTTCGAAACCCTTACAAGGACACCACTAGTACCTAACAATAGGTGGATTAGTAGACCATGGTCTTCACAAGGTCCCAATCATTTTTTATCCCCTGCGTCCCTGTCAGCGTTGAAAAAACAGCTGGTAGGGATGCTAACACTCCTAAACCGTTAATGCTGGCTCCCCCTTTGCATGAATGTAGGAACAGTCTAGTTCACCCGCATCCATTAAGCACACTTGGTACATGCACAAGTTTAGGTCAAATAAAGATCCCTACCCCCGTTTCTTGCTCAACTAAAAATAAAAAATGCCTTAGCCTATAGCACATCCAGTACTCCAACGCTCAATTCTTCACCGAAAACAGCACGCACCAACTCGATAGACATAGTTGAACATGATGCTGAAACTCCTCTTAACATAGGGTCGTCATGTCAAACAGTACTACTGGGTGCTGAACCACATTCGGGGCTGATTAACGAACTTAAGTACTTCAAATGCTATTTCAAATCTCATCTTTACCTAATCCTCATAAATGCTAGATCCGTTCTAAATAAACTACCGATGCTCAGAGCACTCACGGTAATATACAAACCCCCTATAATTGTCATCACTGAATCCTGGTGTAACTCGAACATACTGGATGAAGAGATAAGCTTAGATAACTATACACACTTTCGGTGTGACAGGGAAGGTGGTAAGGGAGGGGGTTGTCTTATGTA